AAAAACAACCCTCCTCCCAAAACTATGTTTTTACTTGCTGTTCTTTCCTCTCCACTTCCCGCTGCATCTGCAGGAAATCCTCCGCCAAGGAAGCCGCCTGAGAGCAGGTCTCGGGTTCGTGTTCCCGGACCCAGCTCTGGATGTCCGGGGGCAGGATGGCCAGGAACTGCTCCAGGATCAGCAGCTCCAGGATCTGCTCCTTGGTGTGTCTCTCCGGCTTCAGCCACCGGTGGCAGAGATACCAGAGCTGGCTGCAGACCTCACGGGGGCCTTCGGCCTCCTGGTAGCGGAACTGGCGGAAACGTTGGCGTTTCATCTCCATGCTGGCCGAGTCGTCTCCCAGAATTTCTTCCTTCACCTTCACCATCCCCGATTCCCCAATTTCTCCCGCGTCCAAGAGGTTTTGGGGCTCTGAGCTTTCCTCGCTCAGGACCACAGGGTGCCGGATGGCGCGGCCGCCCCTGGGCCACAGGCGGGTGACCGCCGGCCCCTCCGCGGAGGGAGAGAATCTTCGCCGGTCTTGTAACTCCGTGGGGCGCAGTAGACTCCTCCACCCCGAACGAGGGGAACGAGCGGCGTTGTGATGGACTTTGTGCTGGGCCGTCCTCGCTTTGAGCAGCCTCTCGTTTTTCTCTCGAGAGCGGCGAGAAGCCATCGCTTTGCCCCTCCACTTTTCCTCCGGATCCGGCGTTTCGGGCTCCTCATCTTCCATTTTCGCTCCGCGGGGAGCTCCCTGCTCTGAGGGACCTTGGAACTGAAGGCTCGGCGTCGAGGCCCGTTTGGCAGACATCCCTGGAAAGAGGCTCGCAAATGGCCTTCCCTCCCTCCCTCTCTCTCCAAATGCAAGAGATTCGGGAAACGAAGGGCCACAACTTGGCAACAGGAGTGTTTTTCCCAGAAGGAGAGGCTGAGAGGGATGGAAGCTTTGTCTTAAAAGGGCACCCCGAATCTCCAAACGAATCAGATCAGGGGTTGATGGGAAAGTCTTTTTCCTGAAGAATGGGAACAAAAACAGAAGGGGAGAGAAAACTAAGAATCCCTCAACAATTTAGCCACCCCAAATCCCTGTTGGGAAAAAAAGTCAGTAAAGAAGTTAACACAGTGAGGCTGGCTGGGGAATTGTGGGAATTGAAGTCCACACATCTTAAAAGTTGCCAAGGTTGAGACTAAGGAGACAAACTTCAAACAGAAAGCAATCCTCCTCCTCTTTTAATGACCCCATAATCCTTTGCGGGGTTGTTGTGGTTAGCCGGCAGCAGGTACAGATGGCTGAGGAGAGCGAGGACTCAGATGAGGGGCCAGGACCATCAGGGAGCGGACTGCTGCCATCAGAGATTGTGGGGGCTGGCAGCAGCGATGAGGAGGTCCCCGAGGAGCCTGTGCCAAGTGCGCGTGTACGAAGGATTACTCGGAGGAAAGAACAATTACAGCAGCACAGGCGACTCGGGAGTAAGGCTGTCAGTTAATGCCCCCTCCCTCAAGAGGATAAAAGCCAGGTTTGAAAAAGCATTCTTTGCAGAAAGCAAAGAAGCTCTGAAGCTCAGCTTGTGGACACCTTAGTTTGTGTTTGGAGAATCTTGTAAATTAGTTCTTATCTCTGGGTTTTTGGCAGCATTGATGAACAACTCGGCATGGCTCTTTCTTGTCGGTGCTAATTAGTGGAAAGCAACCTTTTATCTGTAAAGAAACAGGTAATTTAATTGTTATTAAACCTTAAAAGGCGGGGGCTGCTGCCTTTGTGTTTGCTCTTTGGGAATCTGGTTGGGTCAGAACAGGGGTGGAGTCTGGGCAACTGAATGGAGCTGAGTTTTTACTGGCCAGATGCCCCTCCCGTTGCCAATGCAGAGTTTTTTTCCCAGCAGATCTTTTCTCAGTATGCCAAGAGAGAGAAATATCTGCCTCTAGCTAAGATTGAACTCTCAGCCTCTTGATTGTGAGGCGAGAACTCCACCTCTAGGCCACTGCACCACTCATCAAATATATAAGAAATGCAGGCTGTATGTAGCAGCTGCTGGGAGCAAATGTGACATTATCTTGTGTTGACTTTGCTTATCTGTATTCCTGGCTGGGAAATGTGAGTTTTGCCGTGCCTTCAAGTCTGGAATTCTCGCTCCTGTCCTGCCAAACTAATTAGCTCAGTTGGGCTTGATTGGACTTCAAATTACAGTTTTTGTTGACCATGTTTTAGACTTGATTCCTTGCAGTTAAAGGCTGTCCCTGGGAGAGTTTTTCTCCAGCCAGAAGGTAACCTGGACACTGGGGGCAAAGTTGGAACTATTAAAGGGACTCTTATTGATTATCTGCAGAATTATGAATCTGGTGGTCTTAACATATATATATCCTGGTTGTACAGTTTTTAATTGTTATTTGTTTTAATTTGTTTTACACTGTTATTTGTATATGTCTTTTGGTGTTGTTCAGTTGTATGTTGTGAAAGAGCACCTTATTTCGTTGTTCTCAGGTTTCTGAGTACAATGACAATAAATTTATCTTATCTTATCTTATCTTATCTTATCTTATCTTATCTTATCTTATCTTATCTTATCTTATCTGACTGTGTTGCCTTTGTGCCACATCCTGGGTCATCACAGGTAGTCCTTGACCTGTAACAGTTCATTTAGAAGTTACAACAGCACTAAAAAAAAAAAGATATATAAACGTTTTTCACACTTGCAGCTTCCCCATGGTCATGTGATCAAAATTCAGAGACTTGACAAACTGGCAGTTGCATATTTATGACACCGGTGATTCATGTAGAAACTGAAAGGGCGCAAAAATAGTGCAAACCTCAGTTAACAACTGTCTCGCCATGCGCAGTTTGTCCTTTTAACCAGTCCTCCCAGCTGCAGCCCTTGAAGGGGATCAGGGCCCCTTCCTCCCCTGTAGACCACGCCACTCACATTTCTCCCTTATCTGCTCCTCCCTGCGTGCCCTAGGATGAAGAGGGGATGGCCTTGGGTCTTCCTCTGAATGCCCAGCCGGCCTGTGCCCTTCCCCAGTTTCTTCCACAGCCACCGGAGCCACACTCACTGTCAGCTGCTCAATCTCTCCCTTGGAGTCAGACTCCAACAGAGGCACGACAGTCGTAAAATGGTCAAAACTCACTTTAACAACTGTCACACTTAGCAGCAGAAATCTTGGGCTCAGTTGTGGTCATACGCCAAGGCCTACCTGTATCTAGTTACTAGTCCTAATCACCATAATGGAGTTCAAAATTTATGTTGCTAAGTGAGAAATGGGTTAAGTGAGTTTTGCTCCACTTTATGACCTTTCTTGCCATGCATGTTAAGGGAATCACTGCAGTTGCTCAGTTAGTCACATGGTGGTTCAGTGAATCTAGCTTCCCTGTTGACTTTGTTTGTCAGAAGGTTGCAAAAAGGGATCGCGTGACTCCCGGGACAGTGCAATGGTCATAAATGTGAGTCAGCTGCCAAGAATCCAAATGTTAATCATGTGACCATGGGGAGGCTGCAAAGATCTTAGGTGTGAAAAACAGTCTTAAGTGACTTTTTTCAGTGCCGTTGCAACTTTGAACAGTCACTAAATAGACTGTTGTAGGTTGAGGACTACCTGTAGATGATTGATAGATTAGATTAGATTAGAGATAGATATAGAGATAGATAGATAGATAGACAGACAGACCTATATAGAGATAGACATAGAGATAGATAGATTTAGAGATAGATATAGAAAGATACAGATAGATAGATATAGATATAGAGACAGATATAGATAGTGATAGACATAGAGATAGAGATAGATGGACAGATAGAGATATAGATAGATATAGAGAAATTTAGATAGAGGTAGACATATAGAGATATAGATAGATATAGTGATAGACATAGACGTATATAGAGATACATAGATATAGAGATAGATATAGATAGATATAGAGATAGAGACATTTAGATAGACATAGACATACAGAGAGATATATAGAGAGAGATATATAGCTAGACAGCTAGAGATAGATATAGACAGACGGATAGATAGATAGATAGATAGATAGACAG